TATCTTATTCACGAACCAGCAAGCCATAGTGGATAGGAAAAAGTATATGTTGATCTCGCTTCCTCAGTAAGGCAGATGGCCGAATCTGTACTTGTTTACCTATGTTTTGACCATCTAGATTTTAAACACTTGGCTGGTGCCTGCAACATTTTAGGAGAATATGGAAAAGTAGAACACCTGTGAAATGTAAATGTGATTACTGCTCACTGTCCAGTCTTCAAAAACACATTTCAGTAATTCAAGTCCTTTTTGTCCTCACCTTTTTGATGAATGTAATAGTTTTTTTTTGTAGGCAATACTTCTTTGATTACAGGTGATATTTTAACAGTTATAGACTGGAATTGAGTTTCAAAATTGTGGGTATTTGTGGGGCCAACTCAGCCAAAATCAGCCTGCTGGTATTTGTGGTTGGACAATGGATGGCTGTTGGGTGGGAGGGGTACCAGTACTGAAACTGCCAAAATGTGGCACTCTTCCAGGGGTAAGCTAGAATCAAGAATGCAGGTTTTTTAGTATGCCGGTAATTTGGCGGTTTTTTTTGCTTGGGGCGTGGTAGCATGCCGGTATCCCAGAAAATTTTTGTGGGGCGGGGCGGTGCCGGTAGCAGCCTTTGGGGGAAACTTTGCAACTCTACTCAAAAGCTGTCACCTACGCGATGTCTAGCTGTCGCCAATTTTTCACAAGTCATCTTGAAACAGTAGGTACCATTTTTGCCGTTTTCTCATCACCTTTGAGGCCTAAAAAGTAAATTTGAATATGAGGCTAGAATGTTAGAAATAAACTGATCTTTCAAATTTCAGCCTCTGGGCATTACAACGCATCACCATATTTCAATAGTTACACACACACAAAAAAAAATCGCTATCATTAAACTTACCTATAGGTCTGATTGACTTCCTAGCTCGTCCTGGCTTCCTGATCCAGTTCAATCAGAACTCACGAAAGGATAGTCAGTTGTCACTGATTCACTTGTCTTTGCTTCAGTAGTCAAGACCAAGATTCTTACAGATATAGTCAAGATAGTCAAGACCAATTATCAACGCTCCCACCAAGTTTCTAGGACCGATGGTCATGGACCTCGCCCCAGTTGTGGCCCAGATGTGACGTCCCCCGTCCCGGTCGCCCGGTCCCTCCCTACTCCGTCGGCGGCCAAGGCCGCGCCGGTCCCCGCCACCGCTCAACCGGCGACGAGCGGGGACGAGCTGTCGCGCTGTCGCCGTTTTTCCTGCGTTGTCTATGGCGCTTCACAACGCACCGGCTGTCGCACCGGCGGGATTTTTCAGCCCCAGCTGTCTACAAAGAGATGACGCTGTTAAATTTTTGTCCCGTGGTCCATAGTGGTCTTCTATGGGAAGACAGCTCTGATTGTAGCGGAAACGGCCTAGTTACTCTACTTTAAATGCATCAACTGAGATGCTCGCATCTGTCTGTTTTTATTCCTATGGCTGTCGCCTACGCACGCAGGCGAGTAGCAGGGTTTTTCACCTCTGGAAACGACGGAACGGATGACCAAACTTCGAAAGGGAACTGGGAAGTCTAAACACTCATGAAATGCCACCGTTCCGTCGTTTCCATCCTCAGGACATTCAAATCCTTCTACTCCACGCCTCAACCCCTGTACCGGCTGGATATGCAACTTTATTGCATGGGCGGCTCCCATTCTAGGGTGCTTGCCCAGACCAATGTCTCCCCCTAATTCCCATTATTCTCCCGGCTCTGCAATGGTTTTAATCGACCGAAAAGGCCTAACCCAAGCCCAACAAAACAAACAAAACAAACTCGTGCAATATGATTCTCTGGATAGGTCGCGAGTTTCACAAACCACCGATAGGTGGCAGTGGTGTTGCTCGCTATTCCGCTGTCGCTGCTCACTCTGCTCATAATCGATATCCCACCAACGTCCTATAGATGGCGGTGGTGTAGCCCGCTAGAGCTCGCTGTTAGTAGATATACTATCTGAAGGAGTCATGCTTGTGCTTATTGTTGACTTAAGTAGCTTCAAATAAGTCGATAATTGCAATAATTAAGGTAAAGTTAGAGAGCTAACTTCACCTACATGTGGTGTTATTATGACGTATGGTCTTGGATCCTGGATTTCTCAGACTGTTGAGCTAGGACTTACACTGAAGCTTAGCTTCCGTTACGCCTCATAGAGGGCGTGTTGTAAGGTACCAAATTCTATGCTCTCTTATTCTACGGAATTTGCTAAGTGACTTATGACAAATCTATAATGCACATGGCCATTAAAAGGCAGGATATTTGAAAAATATACCAATGCAGCTTGCGTTGATAGTATCCTGTATGAGCTTCAGGCTACCCAATGTTTGTGTACTTGGAAAAAGGTACTCATCAGTGACAATGGGATATATACGGAAAACTCGGCGGCGAAACTCATACTTACCTGGCTCAGGGGATACCGTGATCATGAAGGCGGTTCCCCCAGGGCGAGGCCCTTCCATTGCACTTCGGTTGGGTTGACCCCTGCGATTATCCCAAATGTGGATAACTCGGGAGTACAATTTTTGTTAGCGGGGTAGGTTGCGTTCGCGCTCCAACCCTTTTTAAACATTCAAAAGTGAGATGAGAACGTGGGTTAACAATTAAGTGGACAAGCGGTTACTTGAGGAGGGAATTGTTCGTTCACGAAGGTTAGATACAGGTCAGAGACATCGGCATATTCAGATGGGTTCGTGATTCATGAAGGTATTTATGTATTCAGATGGAGACCCGATGCGGTCCGGAGACCTATGGATGTGCTGTTACGTAGGACCCTGCCGCACTGGCGATTCTCGTTTTTCTATTTCCGGAGAAGTTCATAATCTGTGAACTTCCTGCATTCCGAAGGCAGGCGGACTAGAGCGAATCGTCTTTTTCTCGTTGGTTTCTAAGATCTTCAGGTCTACATAGACATGCAGTGGAAACTGATAATCACGAGATGAACTATATATACATCTTATCTAGCAGCCTATATACATGCAGTGCCGCTTTAGACACAACCTGTGTTTTCATTTATCGTTGCTACTAACCCACAGGGTATCTATATGTTAATAGACATTGTTCTAGTATAATCACGATCATCAAATTTGCCCTAAAAGTTGTGATAGTTTGGACACTACCTGTGCGGACTACCGACCACTGCGCCGCAGTGCCATTGTCCCGGTGCGACGGGTAGTAAAGGAATCTTGGGTGGGACGGGTCACGGGAGTGCCCCGCTGGGGCAGCCCGCCCAGCATGTGTGTTTGTATGTTGGTATCTGTGACAACAAAAACCTTTGGCATATCGACGCGTTTTTTCCAAACCCCACATTAGTTCTTCAGTAATTTCTGGGAAGCACGAAAGATCCATTTTAAAAAGCGTGCAATCATCCGATCCTGATCAAATGTGTGTCCGTAAGCTTCTTTTGGCATTGCCGGACCTGCCAAGACACTGATTGACCTGACCTGCCTTCAGAAAAACCGAGTGTCTACCTACCATTTTTGAAAGTTTCTATCCAGCTTATCGGACATTCGCAGAACAGATGTGGGGTTTGGAAAAACGCGTAACATCGTAATCCTGGCAACGTTAAACCCACGACGCAAGATATTTTGGATATATACAAGTAATTAGAATCGCTCATTGACCATTCGCACCCATCTGATATTGTATTAGTAGGCCACCGTTGTGGTTGCCGTAAGAAATTCAGCGAATACCCATTTGAGTGTTAACCTCCACAGAAATCTTTAGTAAAAGGCGAAAGATCTGTACGTTTTGAAGGGAAACCAGAGATGGTTTACCTGGCGAATTTTCAGACTATATCATGTATTAGTGAAGTTTCCATAGTTAGTGTCAGGTCGATAGTGGCTAGTACAGCTGAATTTCGATGGTCTTTAGCAAAAAGTGCATTGTAATATTATCAAATGGGACCCAAACCCTTCAGAAGATTAAGTCACTTAGAAATTCTTACATTCCCCTGTCAACAAAGCACCATATTTCTCCCGAAATTTGAGCCCCTCATTTTACCCCATCTAACGGGTGTAGACTTCACTGCAGCTTACCATACCTGCCGCTCACTCACACGAACCTGCCCACTCGGGCTCATATGGCCACAGCGCTGGTTCTAGAAACTTTCGCGTCCTGTCTTTTCATCATGCTTTGGAATATGCTACAACACTGCAAGAACATCGCGTTAAGTACTTGTTAACCGCTCCCTATTTCACCGCTCATCCATAACGACATCCCCTGAACCGCTCCTGGCGTCGCCCCTGTCGGACGCTCCTGGCGGTGACGCCTATGAATGGAGCGGCATTCGGCCGGCCGCCGCCGGGACCGCCGGGGCGGAGCGTCGGTGGTCCCGGCGGACGTGGGGCTTGAGGCCCTCTGAGGACAATGTGGGCCCTCTGAGGCCGGCGTGGGCCCTAGCTGTGGCCAGCGTGGAGCCCTCTGAGGCCAGCAGCATTGGACCCTCTGGTGCCAGGCCAGCGTTGGGCACTTTGAGGTCAGCGTGGGGCCCTCTGACGTCTGAGACTGATGCTGGACCATCTGAAGTCAGCGCGGGACCTTCTGAGACTGGCGTCGAGCTATCAGAGGCCACCTGGAGGACCTTGACAGTCAGACTTCAGCCATTATGCATGTTAGAGTCCTCTTATGTCGGAGTGTGCCCTTCCCTTAGAGGCCGGTATGGACCCTCAGCTGGGTGCGGGCTAGCTAGCTATGGGCTGGTTTAGGGTCCTCACGAGCCCACCTAAAGCCCTCAAGAGTCTGCATAGTGCGCGGACTATCAAAGATCCGTAGGCCCGCATCCTGCTGGGGTTCCTGGCTCTCCAGCTCCACGCAATGCTTGGAGCTGCTTGAACATCTCATTCAAGCTTGGCTCCTGGGTCACGTAGCGACATACGGTAGGCGGCATTCTGAAGCCAACGTCGAAAATCACGAAGAAATTACTTCAGTCTCATGTTTCAGAATTCAGGTCAATTGAAAGTTGAACTCTGCACGAGGAGCTGATCGACGCATCCCGAAAACAAATGCTCAGAGAGCAGGGTAATGACGGTGTCGCAGACTCCCGTGCCATCAAGCTCCTCCAGGACGACTCCCAGAGCAGCAACCAGTCTCCGATCTCGAACCTGTTCGGGGGCCAGTACAAGTCCACGCTGCGCTGCGTCAGCGGCGGGAACCAGTCGGCGAAGTTTGAGGCATTTTCACACCTCTCCGTGCCGATGCCTGCCAGGGCCAGTCAGTGCTCGCTCCACGAGTGCATCCAGCTTTTTGTGGAGGGCGGCACAATCAGCGGCTGGACTTGCCCGGAGTGTCAAAGCAGTGACGACCGGGCCACCAAGCGGCTTGACATCTGGCGTCTTCCACCAGTACTGATCATCCACATACAGCGCTTCTTCAACGACGGCGCGTGGAAGAAGAATCAGTCCAGTGTCCTGTGTCCGCTAAAAAACCTGGACATGTCACCGCACTTGGCTACCAAGGATGCGCACCAACAGCACCACAGGTATCACCTGTACGGTCGGTGGTGAACCATTTCGGTTCCATGGACAGTGGCCACTACACAGCCTTCTGCCACGCACCCACCACGGACAGATGGCACAAGTACGACCATCAGGTGCACGAACTGGGCGGGGGGAGCGTGCGAAGCTCGGCCGGATACTTGCTGTTTTACTCGGCCATCGACCATCGGCTGTAGGCTCTGCCACTTTCGCCCGTAACCAACCGAACGTTTAGTTCGTCCTCCATTCTTGAGGGCACTGTGAGTTTGTAACGTGACTGCAATGGTTGTGTTACGAAAATATGTTTTATCCTCATGAAGCTGGAAAAAATTGAAAGTTCATTTCACCAGAGTCCATCAAAAGTTAACTTTCGCTTATTTCGACTTTTTCGGCCATCCCCCTCCCCCACCATGGCGAAGTTTGCCCTCGAGGATCTCAGGGCGAATATAAGACACACGGGGGCCACGTGGGCCTCCGAAGCCTGCGCGTCATGCCTGGGGTCTTCAGAGGTCAACGACATGGAGCTCTTACGGGAATGGCGCGAAAACAGCGTGGATCCTCGGTGACCAGCATGGCTCCTACCGGTCTGTTAGGAGCCAGTAGAGGTCATCAGAAGTAGTTTCGACAATTACTTTTGATGGAGACACGCTAGAGTGATAGAAGATCCTGAATGCATTCAGCTCAACAATACACCTCGACTTTTGGGAAGCATGACCTTGACCTAAGGTCACATTATTGGCCATTCAGCGTGTCTCGGCAAGAGAAACATAGTGGTAGTGAAAACAAGATCTTCCGAAGGCATCACTGACGGAGGAGCGGGAGCAGGCGTGTTAATCGAGAGGCCGGACGGCGAGGTGACGGAGCTCCGCATCGCCGCCGGCCGCCTTTGCTCCAGTTACAGAGCGGAGATGATCGCGCTCCAAGCAGCTACCGACTACCCAACAGACGACCCCGCACACGAGGAGGACCCCCATCATCTTCTGCGCCGACTCCATGGCGGCACTCGCGCGCCTCCGTGAGGGACCGGTGGCGCATTCGCCGTCGGCGTGCATCAGAGCCGTGCCGGTCACATGGGAAGAGGCCGTCAACTATCCGCACCGGGTGCCAGGACAAGACGTGTACGGCAGCGTGTGCAGGCCTCTGCCGAGAGGAGCCGGTCTCGCCAAAGGCTGCTGTTTGCGGCTTCCGGTCCCATGTTTGTGGCATACGTCTGGTCCAGCCCCGACTCTGAACCTCGTGGATCGTGTCCGCCCGCGACGGCGGCTGGCCGACAACTGGCGTCCGCCGCCGACCGGGGCACAGCGAGCGGGCCACGCGCCACCAGCGGAACGGCGCGGATCGGTGGCGCAGTGGCGGCGCCAGGCACACGGAACAACGGGGCAGCGCCTCCAGCCGATCCATCGGGAAACAGTGATACTTGGGAGCAGTTTTGCTCAGTGTGCCGTTCAAAGTTTGTTTTATTTTTAAAATGAGCAAGCAATCAACATGATCAGTTAAACGCCGTCGATAGGGAGGACCTATAAAGCGATAGCTGTGCGAGGTCTACTCTACCAAGTAACCGTCTCTAGAAACTGTAGCTGCCATAGTGATAACAGGTGGCGCTTATTCAACAGGACAAAATGTGATCAGGTTTTTATGGATGAACGCTTTAAAAAATAACTTTTCATGGTCGCAAGTAGCACAATGGTGAGAGTCAATATAAAACACAATTGAAAACAGGTCTAAACAGCCAATATATTTTTAGAATCACATGTTATGTGCGACGAAAAGTCGTAACTGACAACACAGTCCACTCAAAGCATGCATATAGGTGCAAAAATCCGCGGCGAAACCAAGACCTTACTTCTACAGGATCATTTCTATAGGTCTTATCGCGATCAGGGGGCTGTCATCCCGGGACCGCCCGTGTATTATTCGCCAATCAGCTTAACACCACCGGTGACGTCACTGGAGGACCGCCAATCGGGGCCGGCCGGGCCCGTAGAAGGCCAAACGCAGAGTTGTTTTCAGAAAAGCGTAAGCCGTATAGATACAGTGGGGGATGGATTTTTGCTGTGATTCGGCTCTCCAAGAGTGCGTCAAGGTACGAGGACCCGGACAAAGGTCATGGTGAACCGGCATCTGATAAAATCCGCTCACCTCTCTTAGCAGCCGACTTCGACCCTTTGCACCCTCGTAAAACACAAAAGCTTGCCGGTCATCAATCCACCTGTGACCTGCATCTCTGCATCTGCTTACTACCTATCTACTATACTATTTGTGAAATGAAACTCTGTCTGTCTGTCTGTTTGCACCGTGCAGAGGGGTGCTTTGACGTCGTGCACAGGTCAAACGGTGCGGTCGAGGGGGCTGAAATTTTCGCAGCGTGTTGATGACGTCACGCGCACGTGCAGTGTCGAGGTCCGAATGTCGGGGGGTGGATGGTTCGCACGTGGCACGCGCTGGAAAAGGGTGCTTTTTCTCCAAATTTTGCTCGGCTCTCAAGCTTGCTTCAAGGCATCGGCAGCCGGGTTCAATGGACTTTGCAACTAAAATGCATGACGATCGGCGGCGGGTGCCTCTCATTTGCAGATTGGCCAAGTTACTTATTTTGATAAACAGAGGCGAATGAAGGTGTTGATATTCGGTAAATAAAGACAGTTTTCAATGCACTTACACAAAGGCACCGCGTTTGCCGCAGTGCGCCATATTTGTCCACATGCGCTATTTTTGTCGCAAATCGCACAACTTTGTCAAATATGGTCCGATAAAGGTGCAATTTGCTGGAAGGATGCATGGCAAAACGACAGGAATAAACGCACCACTTTTGTCGCAATGCGCCACATTTGTCACAAGGCGCCATTTCAACTAAATACGATTAAGAATAATGGAATGACACAAGTAGGAGCAGGGTTAGGAACTCTTTGTTTTAGTTTATCAGTTAATCTGATAGTCTGTGACCTCACATGACCCAGTGGTAGTGGTAGATGTAGTGGTAGTAGTATATGTAGGGGTAGTAGTAGTATTAGGGGTGGGGTAGTGGTAGGGGTAGTGTTAGGGGTAGTAGAAGGGGTAGTGGTAGGGGTAGTGGTAGGGGTAGTAGTAGAGGTAGTAGTAGGGGTAGTAGTAGGGGTAGTGGTAGGGGTAGTGGTAGGGGTAGAAGTAGGGGTAGTGGTAGGGGTAGGGGTAGTGTTAGGGGTAGTGGTAGGGGTAGTGGTAGGGGTAGGGGTATTGGTAGGGGTAGGGGTAGTGGTAGGGGTAGTGGTAGGGGTAGTGGTAGTGGTAGTGGTAGGGGTAGGTGTAGTGGTAGGGGTAGTGGTATGGGTAGTGGTACGGGTAGGGGTAGGGGTAGTGGTAGGGGTAGGGGTAGTGGTAGAGGTAGTGGTAGGAGTTGTAGTAGTGGTAGTGGTAGGGGTAGTGGTAGAGGTAGTGGTAGGAGTAGTGGTAGTGGTAGGGGTAGGGGTAGGGGTAGAAGTAGTAGAAGCGTGGTACAGGCCGATCCAATGTGACGTGGTGACCTATGCGACCTGGCCTGACCGAAGATGACCTGGCCTGACCCAGTGTGACCGGGGATGACCAACTTGACCTGACTTGATCCCGTATGACCCAAATTTCATCCAACTAAGTTATTATGTTCAAAATTTTCATCTGCACGTTTCCGTCCATATCTCTGCTTCCAGACGACAGATCAATTTAAATCAAACACCGTTCGAAAGCAAATTGGCTGCTGCCGCATTTTATGGCTACGCCGCGAAGCAAGTGGCGAAGCCGCTTGTATCGACTAGTTACTGCAGCCGTTTTGGAGCGGCTCACGGCCGATAACACACCGGGCGTGCGCTAGCCGCCAGTGCTAAGCGCTAACCACTGAGTGCGCGTGGCCGACTGCCGCCCCGATGGCGCTGGCCCCCGGCACCGGCGCGGCGCTGCTGACCCATGGAGGGGGGGGGGGCTGCTAATTAGTTGAGCCGGAATTGGGATAGAAACCGGTATGGGATTGGGATAGAAGCTCAGCGAGACAAAGGGATTGTGTGGTGCCTTCGGTAGGCCCCTCAAAATCACCCGTGTATAGGGCCCTCAGGGCCGCCGGTTATGAAGCCTTTGGAGGCACTGGTGTGGGCCCTCACAGGTACCGGTGTGAGGCTCTCAGAGGCATTGGTGCGGGGCCCCCAGAGGTGCCGCTGTGGGCCCTCAGAGGCGCCGGTGAGGGTCATCACAGTTGCCGTTGTGGGCCCTCAGAGACATTGCAGTGTGGGGTTGTTACAGTCGGGTGTGGGACCCTTAGAGCTGCTGGCTCGAACCCTTTACAGGCCGACAGGAGCTCTCAAAGACCGACAAGGGGCTCTCAAGAGGTCTGCGGAGCCTTCGGGAGCCCTGTGGAGTCCTTACAGACCAGCAAGGTACACTCAGACGCCAGTGGGGCCCTCAGAGTCGTCGGTGTGGGGCCCTCAAAAGTCACCGGTGCGTGGCCGTCCGATGCGCAGGTCCCGTCTGAGGCCGTCAGAGGTAGTCCGGCGTTGTGCCCCCAAAGCCGCCGATATATGGCCTTAAGAAGCACTGGTTTCGGGACCTCATTCAGGGGTGCCGGTTGAACTCAGAGGTGGCAGTGTGGGGCCCTCAGCTGGGCACCGGTTTGGGGCTTTCACAGCCGCCGGTGAGGGCCCTCGCAGGCGCCGTTGTGGGGGCCTTCAACCATTGGATTAGGGGGTCATCACAGGCGTGTGTGGAACCCTTAGAACTGCTGGTCCCTGATAGGCCGGTAAGGGCCCTCAGAGGCCGGCAGGCGGCAAGTAGCTCTCAGAGGTCGCCAATGGGCCCTGAGAGGCCGGCAAGGAACAACAAAAAGCCGGTGTGTGGCTCTTATGGAGAGAAGTGTGGCTATTCGGAGCACATACGGTGTTCTTTCGAACCCTGTGTGGCCCTTCTGAGTCGAAAATGCCAGCGGGGACCCTCAGCCGCCAATTGGTGTCGCAGGGCCCCTCGGGCCCGAGAGGCCCCCTGATCCGATGGGGGCACGTGCCCCCAGCCCCCCCCCCTCCGGGTGCAGATAGAGA